CAAGAGAACCGTTACTTGAATTAACAGCTGGAAACCGGGGCCTGTGACAATCCACTCAGAAAGGTGACTATGGCCTAAATAAACTATGCATAACTGCGACTGCTGTTATGCACCAACAGAAGCCAAAGAAAAAGAAGGGGACAATTTTCTCAATAGCTGGATAGCTCTGTAGATGAGATTCTTGATCACAATATAATTCTGATAATGGGAAATATGAATGCAAAAGCTGGTAATGGATATGGTAAGCAAACAAGTAGTGTTCAACCACATGGCATCGGGATGGCAAATGATAACTGGGAAAGGTTAAGAATTTGCTGGGAAGCACAATCTTATTATTGGGAGTACTTGGTTTCCTTACAAAGAGATGTACAAGGTTACACGGAACTCACCAGATGGTAAAACCAAAAACCAGACTGACCATATTATCAGTAAAAAGGCATAGATGGTCACTATTCGATATTAGAGTCTCAACTGCCAAGGGTGGCAGTGATCACGAACTACTAATGGCAAAGATTAAAACTAAATTGAAGTCCAAGAAAAAGATGTAAACAAGCCAACTGCTGAGAAAGTGGAAGACGTAAAAGCATTATGCAAAGCAATGAAGAACTCACAAAGACTGGATAAGCAAAGGTTTGGAAAGAAGAGGCTCAACATCTAGAGATGTCAAGAAAACAAGATATCGAAACGGTATACAAGAGGTTAAATTGTATGGAAACACAATCAGGCCAACGATGCTACCAATAAAAAAGGCTACTGGAGAATTGACTTCAATTGCCAAAGAGGTGCTGGAAGTATGGTAGAAGCATTGTGACAAAGTGCTGAACCCTGCCATTTGCTCAGACGCAAGCATTCTACACATGCTGTATCAACATGGCAGCTTGTAAGACAGAATGGGATATCTGTACTGAACCACCACCGAAAGAAGAAATAGAAAAATCTAAGGCAGTTCAAAGATGGGAATAGACAACATAACAGCTGTGCTGCTAAAAGCCAGCAGGAAAAATGCTATCAAAGTATTAGAAAAAAAAAATACAAGAAGGTATGGGAGCAAGAGAAGGTATCAGATGACTGATTGGCTAAATTGTAAAGAAAAGTGATCCTGCCAATCCAAATAATTAGAGAGGTGTGAGCTTACTGTCAGTACTAGGAAAAATCATGAGTGTAACTGTCAGACTAAGACCAGTTTTAGAGGAAGCAGCAGGCAAGGAACAGTGCCCCTTCAGATTGGGCCAATGTTGCATTGATCAGAAGAAGGGAAGGTAGGTGGGAAGGGGGAGTAGAAAGGAACTGGAGGGTATAACCCTGCTCCACCATGCTGAGGACTCAGCAGTCTGAAGTTATAGCTGTCCAAGCAGGGAGGAAAAGGGGAAGGTGGTTGGAGAACACTGGAAAAGATGGATCCGGGGAATAGTCTGGTAGGTCGCCCACGGGTGCACCCTCAAAACAACCATTTGGCCCCTTGCTCATTACTGGGCAGAGGGCGGAGGCAAGTGGCTTGGGCGGTGCTTGTAGCCCTTGGCTTGTTTGTGGGGCTGGTCCTGCTGAGGCTGGCTCCCCTGGCCCTGAGGCTGCTGCGGTTTGAATTGCTTATACAGCGGGGCTGGGATGTAGAGACCCAGGGTTTTCAGGGTGGTGCAAAAGTCCTTGAGGTCACGCAACTTGCTGTCCGTTTGCTCTGCAAATAGGGCTCATTCGTCAAAGGGCAAGTCCTGCATTGACTGCTGGGCCTAGGTGGACAATCCAGAGAGGAGCAGCCAGGAGGCTCGCCGCATGGAGATAGTGAAAGCCATGGTGCGGGCAGCAGCAGCAGCAGCATCCGACGCCGCCTGGAGGGCCACCACGGTCGTGCCCTCATCAAGGATCGCTCGGAACTCCTTGGAAGCCTCAGGGAGCAACTCTTTGAACTTGGCCATGTTTTGCCACATATTGAAGTCATATCAGCCAAGGAGGGTTTGGTGGTTGGCCACTCTCAGCTGAAGGCTGGAAGACGAATAAACCTTACATCCAAAGAGATCCAGTCTCCACAAGTCTTTATTTTGGGGGAGGGGCAGGTTGTTCTTGCCTTTCCTTGTGGTTAACCACCTCAATCACAAGGGAATTGGGGCTGGGTGGGAGTATAAGTACTCATGCCCCTTGGCTGGCACAAAGTACTTGCATTCGGCCCTTTTAGAGATGGGGCCAGGGAAGAGGGGGTCTGTCACAGGGCATTAGTGATTTTGGACACCCCTTTATGAGGGGATAGAGCCACCCTGGCAGGAGCCGAGGAACAGAGGCCGTCAAATAGAGAGTCCGAGGGCTCTTCTAACCTGGGGCTTCAGGCAGAGGAATTGGAAGTGACCCTCTTCAAAAGTTCCTGGTGCACTTTGGCTTCATCCTGAGAAACTGGGTGAGGGTGCCCTGTGATGTCATCACCAAACGAGGCTGAGGATGATGCCAATGCCACAGGAACCTCCACGTCTATTGGTGGTCCAGCAGCTTGCTCCCCTGGGTCCTCCTGCACCTGTGGGGTCTTACCCCTGGAAGCCTCGAGCACTGGAGGGGAACGTGATATCGAGGCTGCTGGCCTCCGAGGCTCCTGACACTGATCGGGCAGCCTGGGAAGGTTGGGTGAACCCCAAGGGTTCCACGGGTACCATGGCGCCAGCCACTGCGCTTGGGGCCACAGGACAGAATTCGGTGCTGACGATGTAGGCAGCACCTCAAGTACTAGGATTTGTCCCACAGTCAGGGAACCTCGCTCCATGCTGGAGCTATAAAGTACCGGGCGACCAGGATTGGGCGGAGCGGTAGCTTGTCTGACTGGTGCCGGTTGCTGCGTCAAGAAGCTGATCTGAGCAAAATTGGCGTTTTGGTCGGGGTCTCAGGGACTGATGGCATTCGGCAGATCTGCGGTGGACACCCAGCGATCCACACCTCACGCTACTCGACCAGTTCCGGGACGCAAAACAGGACCGGGAGCTACTATGGGCTGGTTGTTGGATCTTCCTAAGTAGAGTGATGTCCTTCTTGGAGATGGGCAATGACGGCCCAGCGATCAGCAGTCTCTGATCTCAGATCGGGCCCAAGCCGTTGGAGATGGTTGGGGCTGGTCCCGGAGTTCTTGCCAGGTGGCATGTGCCTCAGAGGGTCTGTGCCAATCCACCAGCGAGGAATGCCTCGAGTCCCTTGATTGGTACCCCCGGTGCAGGGACCGAAGAGGACTCCGCTGAGCCTGCCTCTCTAGTCCTGAGGCGTGACGGCTTCAGGCGGTCGAGCAATGGCAGGACGTCCCTCTCGATGAGGAACTGTGCCGCTGAGTCAGGGACAGATGCATAGGTCCCAACACAGGTTTTCCCTGAGACCAAGGTACCACTGGAACCAGTGTGGGTGGCATCGGGAGCGTCAGGATCTCCTGAGCTGTTTGAAGGGCTTCGGGCATTGACGGCACCTGAAGCTGGCCAGGGCCTGCACCGCTATCTGGAGTCACAGGCGAAGTATGGGATGGGCTGCACCGCTCGACTTGAGCTGGGGCCTGACTTCCCGAAGGAGGCGTTGAGCTGCCCAGCCCAGGTCTTGGCTCGCCCCCAGCCTTCTCCTTTCCCTTGCAAGAAATAGGAGATCTTCCCCCAGTCTTTTTCGGCTTCTTGACCAGAGCTGTGGAGGGAGACTGGTGCCGGCTCATGGCCAGCACCCGCGGAGCACTGCACATGGAGGCCACGGTGCTTGGTGCAGAGTTGGACTGCTGTTCCGGTACCAGAGTGAGTGGTGACTCCATTAGGATATCACGCTCCTTCTTTGTCCTAGGTTTGAAGGACTTGCAGATACAATACTTGTCGCTTATGTGCTACTCGCCTAAGCACCTTAGGCAGCTGGTATGTCAATCACTGATGGGCATAGGCTATTTGCAGCGATTGCAGGGCTTAAAGCCTGGGACCAGGGCATGCCCCGTCCGAGTCCCATTCAGGACTACAAGAACTTCAAGAACTACTACTAAGGGTAACTAACTGTAACAACAACTACCTACAACTATACTACAAGTGCTACAGAGTTCATACGAACAGAGAACGAGACAACGCTAGCCGAAGCAGCAGATGTTCCAGCACCGTCACTGGTGGCAAGAAGGAACTGGGGGGGGGGGGGGGGGGGAGCCGGCGGCACCCCTTATACCACAGCATGTATGCACCGCTCCAGGGGGCGCCAGAGCCAGTGCCCTACGGATACTGTTGATGGAAAAACTTCTGGCACCGGTGCATGTGGCAAGCACACACACCTAATATGAAATGGACATGAGCAAGCACTCGGAGAAAATAATATGTGATCGTGTAAATTAAAGAATACCATAAACATATGTAAAAAGGAGGAAGAACTAGGGATACATAAGAACTTTAACTCTGGCTGAGTTTCCTGACTTGAGTGTTTCCCTTAGAAACTGCTAACACTAAGGTTGCAAGTACTGAAATTATAAATGTATAGTGTTCCATAAATCCACTCTCTCTTTGGAGTGAAAAAAGGTATGGTTTCATTGTTGTAGTTTCCTTAAAAACGCTGTAGTGGAGTTACTATTTACTGAGTACATCCTTGTGGCCACATATTTTGTAGGTACTCCACCTCTGTTAACCCCACTCTTGCAGGTCCCTTAAGAACTCAATGCAGCATTTCATGTGGCTAACAGCATCCCCACACAGGGCTGGTTTAATAACAGAAGTGGTTCACGCAATCCTCATGGTCCCCATGGCACTCTTCCTCTGCCCCAGTCTGACATCCTTCTGGCAGCCACACCCTGGCAACTTCCAAAACCCCTGCATATTAGGGTCTTCCCTGCAGAAGCCTCTCTTACTTCCTGCAGTTGCCTAATCTTCCCTCTTCACTGCAGCCATCTTCTGCCCTTTATAGGGAATTATCTTATCCAACATAGGCATGCCTCTTCAGTAATCAGGGTTGGCCAGCCCCACACACTCCAGCAATAAGCCACCCTGTTACAAATACATTAATGATGATTTATCTGCAACACTGTGACTTACTCATTTCCATGAATAGCTGTCTCTTCTCTGCCATTGTCCTTCTCCTCTTCCCGCTCTCCTCAATCATTCTACAGACAAAAAAGTTAAAACAGTGTTAATGCTACCAATTCTCCTAGTACAAAACCAACATACTGCAAACAAAGTTTATTTTCTTCATCAAGTGAAAGATTTTGATCTGTTCTTGTCAAATCTAGTCAAACAACAGGTGAATACAAAGTAACAGGCAAAATCCGCAAAAAAGAAAATACTACTGTCAAGCAATTACAAAACTTAATCGCGATTAATTGCACTGTTAAACAATAGAATATCATTTAAATATTTTGGATGTTTTCTACATTTTCAAATGTATTGATTTCAATTACAACACAAAATATAAAGTGTACAGTGTTCACTTTATATTTATTTTTGATTACAAGTATTTGCACTGTAAAAATGATAAACAAAAGAAATCATATTTTTCAATTCACCTAATACAAGTGCTGTAGTGCAATCTCTTTATCATGAAAGTGCAACTTACAAATGTAGGGGTTTTTGTCTTATATAACTGCACTCAAAACCAAAATGATGCAAAACTTCAGAGCCTACAAGTCCACTCAATCCTACTTCTTGTTCAGCCAATCGCTCAGACAAACAAGTTTGTTTACATTTGCAGATAATGCTGCCCGCTTCCTGTTTAGAATGTTACCTGAAAGTGACAACAGGTGTTTGCATGGCTCTGTTGTAGCCGGCATCGCAAGATATTTACATGCCAGACGCACTAAAGATTCATATGCCCCTTCATGCTTCAACCACCCTTCCAGGGGACACGCGTCCATGCTCATGACGGGTTCTGCTTGATAACAATCCAAAGCAGTGCGGACAGACGCATGTTCATTTTCATTATCTGAGTCAGATGCCACTAGCAGAAGGTTGATTTTCTTTTTTGGTGGTTTGGGTTCTGTAGTTTCCATATTGGAGTATTGCTCTTTTAAGACTTTTGAAAGCATGCTCCTCACCTCGGTCTCTCTCAGATTTTGGAAGGGACTTCAGATTCTTAAACCTTGGGTCAAGTGCTGTAGCTATCTGCAGTGAAAGTGTTCTTAAAATGAACAACATGTGCTGGGTCATCATCCGAGACTGCTGTAACATGAAATATATGGCAGAATGCAGGTAAAATAGAGCAGGGGACATACAATTCTCCCTCAAGGAGTTCAGTCACAAATGTAATTAACTCATTTTTTTTTTAAACGAGCGTCATCAGCATGGATGTATGTCCTCTGGAATGGTGGCCAAAGCATGAAGGGGCATACGAATGTTTAGCATATCTGGCATGTATATACCTTGCAATGCTGACTACAAAAGTGCTATGCAAATACCTGTTCTCACTTTCTGGTCACACTATAAATAAGAAGAGGGCAGCATTCTCCTGTAAATGTAAACAAACTTGTTTGTCTTAGCAATTGGCTGAACAAGAAGTAGGACTGAGTGGACTTGTAGGCTCTGAAGTTTTGCATCATTTTGGTTTTGAGTGCAGTTATATAACAAAAACACCCCTACATTTGTAAGTTGCACTTTCACAACAAAGATTGTACTACTGTACTTGTATGAGGTGAATTGAAAAATACTATTTATCATTTTTACAGTGCAAATATTTATAATCAAAAATAATATATACTTTGATTTCAATTACAACACAGAACACAATATATATGAAAATGTAGAAAAACATTCAAAATATTTAATAAATTTCAATTGGTATTCTATTGTTTAAAAGTGCAATTAAAACTGTGATTAATCGTGATTAATTTTTTTGAGTTAACCACGATTAATCAACAGCCCGAGAAAATACATATTTTTAATCTAGTATTCTTTGGAACACAGAGTTATCTTATATTTTTGAAGGGCCTTTCACGCTTTTGGGTGCCATATTAAAATTATTAGCCTATTCAGAATGGCAAAAGTGATCTAAATTGGAAAACTCCTAAAGATACATTGTATCAAGTAATATTATTGAAAATATATATATTGAGATTTTGCTTCTGCTCATTCAGATTTCCCAAAATACCAAAGCAAGCAAGAAAGGACCAATTTACATCGATATTTAAATTTAAAAAAAAACGTTTCCAATTTGGTGAAATCAAGATTGAAATCAAGATATGCTTTAGGAATTATTTTTGGGAAGTTCTATGGCCTGTTCTATACACTTGGTCTGACTAGATGATCACAATGGTCCCTTCTGGATTTAAAAATCTATGAATTCCATTTAACATCTCTTACTGACCATGATTACATTATTATGCAACCCTAAAGAAGAGCAAGTGTAAGTGACTCAGCTTGATGTTGATATAAAACCAAAGATTTCATACAGGCAAATGTTAACACAATATTCATCAACTACTTAAATATAAAAGTATTGAAGATGCTTTAGGGCTTTATTGTTATTAAGCGAAAGTAGCAGATTAAATTACTTCATGATATTAGAATCATTTTGATTGAAAGGAACTTCTTAAGTTAGAGATCTAGTTCACTGTCATGCAACATGGCAGGACTGATTTCATTACGCCTATAAGGCATAATAAAAAATGAGTAAGTATATAGTCTTGGCACTAAATTCATTCAGTGATAGACTTTCTACAGCTTCCCTTGGCAGCTTCTTCCACTACCTGTTAATATTTATTTTCTGGAAAGGATCTTGCATTATATGACACTGCATCTTGAAGGATCCCGAACCAATTTAATTACCCATTGATAATACAAACCATACACAAAGTACATTGCTCATATTTCTTTAATTTCCACATTTATATACATATTTAAGAAATCTTTTAACTCAGAACCATCAAGCCGTGCATGTAAATTGTCCAGTTTTCTGAAGACAAGTTCAACAGTCTTTCAGAAACAGCAGCAGCATACTGCATAATTGTTGTTGCTCTTCTCTGGACTCTCTCCACATCTTTCCTAAAAGTGAAAACAACACTCCAACAGAGACCTCTTCTGTGCTGGGGAGAGCAGGAAAATTACCTCTCCTGTCTTATATACGACACTTCTGTTAATACATGCCAGAATATTATCCTTTTTGCGCAACTGCATCACATTATTGACCCTCACTCAATATGTGATCCACTATAATCTCCAGATCTTTTTCAGGAGTATTGCCTAGCCAGTTATTCCCCATTTTGTGGCTGTGCATTTGATTTTTCCTCCTTGAGTGTAGTACTTTGTACTTGGCTTTACTGAATTTCATCAGTTTGAAGCGACCAGAGGAGCTAGCGACCAGGAGCAGCTAACAGGGGAATTTTGCAAGGGAACTTTGCAAGAGAGGGGGGGGATACACTTAACATTCTTTAAATTTAAAGCCAAAAACACCCTCTGATAAAAACAAAACATCAACAAAGGAATGAGCTGCAGCAGTAAAAAGAAATGCAGGCAGAAGTCCAACAACAGAGTGGGGGCTATCCAGTTGTATTTCAGGCTCCGGTTGAGCTTCTTGCGCCGGTTTAGCTGCTGCTGCAGGCTCTGTGGCGCCCTTTGGTGCTGGCTCCCCTAACTCTGGTGGGGTTGCAAACACAGGCTCTGGTGCTGACTGCTCCGTCAGTTCCGATCCTTGGGCTGGTTCTGGCTGGGTCCCAGGAACTGGATCTACAACCGCTGCCATAGACTCTGGTCTGGTTCCACCACCTCTGGCTCAGTCCCTGGGCCTGTGGTATCAGGGGATCCAGACTGGGTCCTTGTAGGAGGCTCAGGAATGAAGTTAGGTGTGGAGGCCTGTTTAGTTTGGCTGCAGGTGACCATCCCCACCCTTTTTGTTAGCCTCACATGGTTGGCTAAGTCTTCTCCCAGCAGCATGGAAATGGGATAATGGTCATAGACTGCAAAAGTCCGTATTACTGACCAGCCCTTGTACTGGACAGGCAACTTGGCTATAGGCAAGTTAAAAGAGTTGGCCTTAAAGGGTTGCACTATCACTTGGGCCTCTAGGTTGATGAATTTGCAGTCCACCAGGGATTGGTGGATAGCTGACACCTGTGCGCCAGGGTCTCTCCACCCTGTAATCTTCCTCCCGCCCAAACTCACAGTTTCCCTTCGCTCTGGGGGTATTTGCGAGACATCTGGGCCTGAAGGCTCTCGGTGGGATCCCAGGGTGATGAGTTGCAGTCGGCTGGTGCTCTTGGGGCAGTTGGCCTTCACATGCTGCCACCTCTGCTAAGGGTCCACTGAGTTGTGGCCTCAGCTCCACCATATACTGGTCTGGAGGGATGTTGTACCCAAGGCAGGCCCTTTCAAAATTTTCTAAGAAGGCCTATGTATCACCGCCTACCTTGTATGTGGGGAATTTCTTGGAATGGGGAGCAGTACCTGGAGGAGGACAGTTAGGGCTACCTTGCTGACCCAGCTTAGCCCTTTCTAGCTCTAAGCGCTTCAGCTCTGTCTCCGCCTCCAAGCGCTTCGCCTCCACTTCCAAGCACTTCATCTGTAGGAAGAAATTCCTGTCTTCCGCAGTTAGAACTTGGTCTGAGTTAAGGGCATCCCTACATCTTGGCACCTGGATCTTGAGTTGGGGTGGGCTGACCCTCCAGGGAAATCTCCGGTCCCCCATCCCCTCCCTGCATTTCTGTCATGGAGCTGGATGTCTGGGCTTGATCTGGGTCTGCCTTCTTCATGGTGTGCCGCTTTGGGAAGACTGGTTGCTCTAGGGTTTCGGTGCCCAACCGCAACCTCATGCACAGGGCTGCCCTATTCTAGCCTAGCTATTTTGTTGCCCCGAAGCTAGGGGAAAAAAATAAACTGCTTGTTGGACTCCCTGGCTTTTCAGACTGAACCCTCTGTGTGCCTGTTCCCCTTCAGGCAGCAAAGAAATGAAAGTAGAAAAAAAAAAAAAACTCCCTGGCTTTGCAGGCTGCCAAAAGGAAAAATGTGTCCTTTTAAAATCCTGAGGTCTGTGCCTCTGGTTCAAAATGATCCCACCGCTCTGCCACCAGGTCAAGGCTAATTCCCCACTCTGGCACTTCAAGTGCAGAAAGTGGGTGCCCGCAAGGATTCTAAAAATTAATACTGGCCACTCCAGGCTTGTATTAAACTCCCAAGGTT